GTATTTATACTAAACCAAGAGTGAAATCAAATAGAGAAAAACACTTGCTGTTTTCTGCGTGTGACGTCAGGACGTAACGAATAACGGAACGTACAAACCAATCAGATCGCAGCCGTGCGCTGGGCTCGTCCAATCACAGCGCAGCTCTTTATATTCGCCTCGGCAGCATCCGCTAGCTGGGCAGTTTAGCATCGAGCTGGACGAGGAGCTGAAATCAGACATATTTAAACATCTGCTTGTTTTCAGASGTTATGCTTTCAGCCTTATTTTGCTGAACTTTAAGTCCGTTTAACTGGAAACGTTTAAGGCCCAGTCGAAGGTAAATAATCCCGTTTCTGCTGTTGGTTGAAGCGTCGCAGGTGGGGGGCGCAAATGTCACGAAATGTTGCAATTTAGCGACGTTAGCTAATGTGAGCTAACACAACTTCGTGCTAAAACACTGGTGGAAATTAATGACAACATTTGAAACTAATTAGTTTAAATATCGGGGTTGTACATCCTCAGATGGAGCATTTTAAAATCATTTCCTGTTGAAACATTCCTGGTAAAATCAAGCTAACCAGTTAGCACCAACTTGTTTATTTGTTCCTCAGAGACTTCTTGTCTTTTCTGACCTGGTCAGGACTTGAACTTCCTCCTCCAGATGCAGTTCATGCTGCTGTTCAGCCGCCAGGGCAAGCTGAGGTTACAGAAGTGGTATGTTCCTCTGTCCGACAAGGAGAGGAAGAAGATCTCCAGGGACCTGGTCCAGACCATCCTGGCCCGGAAGCCCAAGATGTGCAGCTTCTTGGAGTGGAGAGACCTGAAGATTGTGTACAAAAGGTGGGTTTATACACCTGTCAACACACACAGGTCTGGTTTGTATATCCCTGTGGGGACCGTGCATTGACTTCCATTCATTTTTTTGTAATTATGTATCCTAACCCTGACCATTTACTCTAAAATTAACCTCAGGTACCTACCAGACCCTACAACTAACTAAACCTTGGTCCTAAACTTAAACCCACACCTGCAATTTGCATTTGGACCTGTGGGGACCTGGCAGTGGTCCCCACATGGCTGCTTTTTTTTGGAAAAGTTGTCCCCACGATGTAGGAAAAACAAGGCCACACCAGGGTTAGTAGGTCCTCTGGATGGTTCTTCTTCAGTGAAACGCTTCGTCTCTCCTCCAAGAGACTTCCTCAGCAGTGTGTAGCAGGGTTTTATAAAAGAACAAAAGCCACCAGGCATTACGGTGAGACTGCAAAGAAAGACAAATCACCTGAGAGCATAACAGACAGTGATGAGTTTTATACGGAGCTGTAGTAACAAATCAAATGACAGAATGAATCCAATTTTTGAATATTTCCCTTGTAAGCGTGATGATAAATTATGTCAGCATAATCAAAGGAAGGAAGGATACACGTTTCAACAATGAGCTTTTTGTCTGAGGATGTAAAAGATGAGCAGTTTCTGTACAGGAAGCTGAGTTTAGGTTTGACCTTAGTTTGCAGTGTARTAATCTGTTGTGTTGTTGGTGTGCTCAGATACGCCAGCCTGTACTTCTGCTGTGCAGTGGAGGATCAGGACAACGAGCTCATCACCCTGGAGATCATCCACAGATACGTGGAGCTGCTGGACAAATACTTCGGCAGCGTGAGTCTCCTGAATAACACACACACACACAGGTACGGCCGGGACCACGCCTCCTCTCATCCTCTCCTCCTCTCAGGTGTGTGAGCTCGACATCATCTTCAACTTTGAGAAGGCCTACTTCATCCTGGAYGAGTTCCTGCTGGGAGGAGAGGCTCAGGAAACGTCCAAGAAGAACGTTCTGAAGGCCATCGAGCAGGCCGACCTGCTGCAGGAGGTGGGATGTGTTCAGCTCCGCCTGTCGCCCGGTCCATCTGCAGGGTGGGCTGTTTGTACGGAGACATTGGCTGTGTCCAAAACGACAGGCCGGGTCCTCCGAAGGCTGAATTCGTCGGCCGTTTACGTCACAGCACCGCGACGGAGGCCGTCCCAAACCGAAGACTCCTCCGATGCGGCCGACAAATACGTCCTTCCTTTTCCCCGATTTGAAGGACAGGTCCGATGGATCCTTCCCGGGGTGGAGGGGAGGCTAGACCGTCCAAATTCACAGCCTCTTTTTTTCCGGTCTTCCCGGTCTACCAAGGACTCGGCCCACCTCGATCGGGTAGTCTGGGTCCTCCGGAGGACCCGGCCTGTCGTTTTGGACACAGCCATTGAACTGGTGACATTAACTTCCTGTTTGTGGCACATTTTTATTWTTTGGGAGGGGGAACTTTTCAAGATGGGTGGTGACTRTGGCGGCCATTTTAAAGTTGGCCATTTTGGATCCAACTTTAGTTTTTCTCAGTGGGAAGAGGGTCATGTGACACATGAAACTTATTGATAATTTGACAAGAAAACCAAAGGTGTGCTTGGTTTAAATGTAACTTTATTCTTCCATGAGTTATTTACAAGTTTCTTCTTGTTTACACCCTTTGACATGTTGCAGTTAACATGTGAGGAGTGCTGATAAGGTTAGAAGAGTTTTGGATTTTTCCTTTCTAGTTTAGTTGTATTTAGTTTTGACTTTTTTATTTTAATTCAGTTTTCATTCGTTTTTACAGTGGATTTGCTAGTTTTTATTAGTTCTAGTGTTTGTTTGTTTGTAGTTTGGTTGGGTGGTCATCCTCCAGCTTGTGATATTCCTGATGTGCCACAAACAGGAAGTTCATATCACCAACCTTTCCCGTTTTATTTAGGTGTGTCCATATAAACGGTCCACCATGTAGAATCTGGATTCAGTTCTAGGAGCGACTCGCTGCACACTGCTGCTGCAGTTTGTCCACTCCAGGTTTGGATCATTCAGAACCGGATCACTCACGTCAGAATAAAAAACATTTTCCTCCTTTTCTCCGCAGGAAGCCGAGGCGCCACGAAGCGTCCTGGAGGAGATCGGGCTGACATAAAGCGGTCCGTCCTCAGACCTGACCCACGTCCTCGTTGTGTCTTCCTTTTGTCCGTCAGTGTTGTGTATTATTGTCCTGTTGTGTAGCGTCCTCAGTGTGCGTTGTGTGTCCTGCAGTATTCAGCGTCACTCTACAGATGTAGCATCGACACAAACCCAGCATGTTCCTCTCACCGCTCTGCAGCTGCTCTCACAGCACACATCTAGAACAGACAGGTTCATAAAGGCCTGGGACCACCTGAAGGAACAGACCCCGCCCCCCAGAGTCTCAGGACCAGACGAGACGGACTCTTTGGTCAAAGCCTGAAAATAAAATGTTTGCAGTATTACTGGGACAGCTCCAGATTTGTTTGTGTTGTTCATGACTGTCAGCTGSTCCTGAGTCCAAAAGTTAACATCTGAATTTGTTTTATTTCTTCTTTAATCATCAATCAGGCCACCTCATTTAGTTTATTTAATTAAATGTGCTTTTATAGGAATCAGTTTTTACAGATTCTATGGAGGTCATTTTGTATTTTTATTATTCAATCAAAAAGTTTTTTTGCAAAACAAACTTTTTTTTTGTCATGTCAAATCTTTTTTGAATCTCAAATTTTGGTTGATGATCCAAGTTCAGAACTGTTTAGAGTTCAGCCAGAAACTCAGAACTTGAACCATGTGGGCGGAGCCTAATGAGGAACTATGTAAGACGTGTCCCTATTGGTGCAAGAAGAAAAAAGCTTCAGTCCGCATTAACCAATACGGACACATCTGACACAGTTCCTCATTAGGCCCCGCCCAGGATGTTTATGTTCTGAGTTCAACCAAAAGTTTCAGATTCAACCAGAGGTTTATAACGTGAAAAAAAGTTAGTTTTAAAAATAATTTTGTTGAAACTGCCTTTTTTTATAATAAAAACACAAAATTACCTCCATAATTCTCCTACATGTTTGTTTTAAAGCAGTTCTTGTTAAATTTTAACTAAAAGASAGAAAAACTGACATCAGTCGACCTGTATGAACCAAGAACTGAGTTCCACTGAAATCCTCTGTGGTTCATGAGATATTTTGCTAACAGATCAGTGKTTGATGTTGATGTTTTAAGGAGGTTAGTTGGTTATGGCGGCCATCTTGAATCAGGCTGACACACTGTTTATCACTTGTAGATTAAAGTCTGTTCAGTAATTTGAGATATTTTGCTAACAGTACAAACAGGAACAAAAGGTGATCATTAAAAGCACACTTTTACTACAACTGTTGTAAAATATAAAAGCAGCCGTCACTAAATAATAAAAATATTTAGATTAGTTGTTTCTGGGTTCAGAACCGAAACGAAATAAAAAAAAAGTTTTGAGCCTCAGATCAGACACTTGACACACACAGGAAGTCATCACAAACTCACTGTTTGTTCTGCAGCACAGTTTCAATCCAGTATTTAAATCTAATTTATGAACAGGAAAAAGGGGGCGGGGTTAAATCGTGGGTCAGACGGTTCTGAGACCAAAGAAACGTAAAAAAATAGTTTCCTGTTTTTGATTCCAATTTATTTTCTTTGAATGTGAGAAATGTCTAATTTTCTTCTTTTTAAAGATGATTTGATCTGAATGTTTGGCTGGATTAACTCTAAAATACTGTCAAATTACATTTATTTACATTCAGATTAA